AGAGCTGCCTTCTAGCAGCTGGGAGCATAACGCGCATCAACGCCTGACTAAAGTCGGCGAAACGAAGAGGAATACTAATCAAGAACGACATCGACATTGGGGGCCTACGGTCAGAAATTGCAACGTATCCTCACTCTGATGGAAAAAACAGGAGTAAGTTGAGGGGGCCGCAAGGTACCAGCTACACATAGTCAGACTTTCGTGAATGGAGCCCCAAGGCTCTGGAATTCTGAACCTCTGCGGGTGGGCGCTATTCTGTTCAGGTGTCGATATCACTATTCAGGTGTAACTGAAAGAATCATCGAATGGAAGCCTGTTAGCGGAAGAGTGGCAATCATCTGGCTGATGTTACAACAGGGAAGAGCTTTGTCTTGTTATGCACCTAATTTGTAGGGGAAATGTGTCCATCTTGGAGAAAGTGGAGTGTGCTCTGTATAAAGTGTCGACTGCAGAGTCTCTCATTCTAATAGGCGATTTTAATGTGCATGTCAGAGCAAACACTGAAAGGTGGAATGGCGTAATTCGGAAAAACGTCCCTAGCGACCTTAGCAATAATGGCATGAAATTCCTGCGGTTTTGTGCAAACAACAGACTGTCTATTTTGAACTCCTTCTTCCAGCATCGAAGAGTGAATCAGTATACCTGGTACCGGGAAGCTTTTGCACAGAAGTCGATGATCTATTTAATAGTCGTATCGTCTGACTTAAGACGCTCAGTAGTGGATGTTCGTGTTAAAAGAGGCGCAGAGCTATCAACCGATCATCACCTTGTTGTTGGCACGCTGCGCTGAGAGAAATGGAGTACCATACGAAGATCTGGTGGCAGAAGCGACCGGAGAATCAAATGGGAAACATTATCTTCGGTGGACACGAGAACGAAATTTGCAAACAACATAGCATGACGGTTTGAACAGATCCCGGTGATGAAAACTGATGTTGAAACCCAGTGGCGGCTCTTTAAGAGCGGAGTACTCGAGGCTGCCGCCGGATGCTGTGGTTTTAAACTAATTGGCCCGCCCCTTGGAGCTCAGAAAAGACCTTCCTGGTGAACTCGAGAAGTACAACTGGCAGTGAAACTGAAGAAGGCTATATTCAAGAAATGTCTTGGAAACAAAGAGCTTTCTACTCGCATGCAATATGTCGAGGCACGCAAGGCGGCAGCCAAGGCAGTGGCGAAAACCAAAGCTGATTCCATGCAGGTTTCCTGTTTTGTTTCCTTAGATTTATTCCACAGCTCAAGAAGGCCTTGATCAGTAAGATATCCAGAATTAAAAGCGGTGATAAATCTTCCATTGTTTTACTTCATTAACTTTTTTTCCTTTTGAAAAATTTTACTTTAATCCCAAATGCGTCGTTATTCATAAGGTATCAGTAGTGGTCTCTTGCTTAGTCTTCGAAAGCCAAATGTTGTTAATAGCCCATTAGAACAACAGCTGTGCAAGAGGAAAAGACAGCGGAGAAAGTTGATATTTCAGGCGATTCTTCATGATTAGATTCCATCGATTCAGAATTAAATAAAAGCATCGCCCTTGTTTTCAGTGTTTTAGTACCCATTTAACTATTTGGACTGAAATAGGAGTAAGCATGTTCTTAAAAATGCGCTTGTACCCTGTTTGTTCATGGCAGTGTTGCTGTACGGCATGATATGGTTTCGAACGAAGGAACAGGAACGACGGTTGAATTGCATACATCTGCAGCGTTGGCCTCGATGCACGGTGAGGGTTAAACGGCAGGACAAGATAAGCAATGAGTTTGTTCTCTTCCATGCACAGGTAACGTCCATAGATATAGTCAATAGGAAGAGTAGGCTGACCCTGTTGGACAAACTTTCTGAGGGTTAACCGTTTATCCAATCCATAAGCATATGACAGCTTACGAACGTGTGACAGCTGAAGCACGAGAGACTTCGACCAGATGACCAGTGCGCAGTATGGATGAGGTTGATGTGTTTTTGTATGTAAACTGTTTCTTCTACGGTACAGTAACCAATGCTTAATGGCACAAGTGTTGTAAAACTAGCGATTCAGCAAACACTGCAGGCTAATCTTATGCAAATGTAAAAATCACCTTAACGATCCATAAAACTAATAACCCATACGTGCTGAATGATCAGAATGTTTTTAAAATAATTTATTTGTATAAAATGACACTAAGCTAGTTCTAGATAGACAGATGTTAAGATCTTCAGTCAATTTTTGACGTGTTGGCCAAAGTACATTGGTGATCCTTCTACCACGAGGATGGCTAATGTTTTGATGAAACGTCGGCAGTTCTGATGAACACTGCGATCAATCTGCTTCATGTGTCAAAATATTGAAGCGTCAATTTTATGGAAAATGAAGACATAATTGAAATGAATTTTCGAAAATATTTTTTCGATTTGTCTGAAAGAACAGATGAACTAAGTTTGACTTGCTCGTCTTCCTTATATTTTCATGATGATGCCATTTTTTTCCGTCATGCTTTTCATGGAATTAATGATGGTATGCTGATCTCTGTTTGTATGCCATCAGCCAGGAGTGCTTTACTTCAAGGCAGAGTCCGCACCAGCTATGTGACAAAAAAGATCGTGTAGTCTTTTGTTAACTTCCTACAGAGATGTCCATTTATCATCTTGGAAGGAAGAAAAGCAAGTGAC